TGTCACCTTCATTACTCATTTAATTGCATCGATTCTACTCAGTGGCCCCGCGTTCTAAGGCATGAACCGTCTTCGTCCGCTCGAACACTGGGATCATGAGTTCGAATCACACTCGAGGCATGATTATCTGTGAGTTTATTCTGTTTTCGTGTTAGGTAGCGGCCTTGCGACGGGATGATCCCCCGTCCTACCGACTGTGTATTTTTTTCCCCCTTGGCACTACAGCCCCAGTGGGCCTAGGCCTACTCCATGAACTTCTCCGTTCACTTCGGTTTTTCTAGATCTTACAAATTCGGTAGGACTCCTTGGGCGGGTGATCAGCTCGTCGCAAGGCCTCTACCTGTACACAAACACAGAAAAACGCATACACACGAACTAAACATCCATGCCCTCAGTGGGATTCGAACCCAGGATCCCGGTTTCCAAACGAGCGAAGACAGTACATGCCTTAGACCGCTCGGCTACCGTGACCGGCACAGACTGTGTATAGGATTAAGAAATTGAAAAGCGGCCAAGTTCCACAGGGGCTTCAGAGCCATAGATGGATGGGTGGATGTGTGGGTGGATGAATAGGCAGGCAGTCAGGGAGAAGTCTACTCATACTACTAATCAGTTTGCATATTTCAAAGTGCTTCAGAGTACCGACAACTCTAGGGCCGAAACAGCAGAGGATATGTTGGCTGCACGCACTTCCACGCACGAGTCGTACTTCAGACATGAACTGTAAAACGCCTAATATTTTTAAATTACGCAATTAAAATTTAGTGGTCACGCCTGAGGATGGCCGAATAGCTGAAACACGTAGAGTGGAATCCATCATTTAGTCATTAAATTTGCACAGTGTATCGGATGGTTTCTTACTGAACTGGATAGACGGAAGGTAAAACAGTAAGAATGGCATCTGCTACATTATTTGGGTTTATTTAGGCAGCTTCATACAGCTGTAACGGTACGCGATGTGCGGTTCGAGACAACGCACGCATAAAATAAACTTGAAAACGTGCGCTTACGAAACTGAAGATTGTGCAAGAGTGACTCACATCCCAAGCGTTACAATAAAACTAACAATTCCGGTTAGGCCGCGCCATCGCTCAAGCGGTTAGTCGTTGGCTTCCCACCGCGGCGGCCTGGGTTCGATCCCGGGTCTGGTCAAGTGGGATTTTTAGTGGACAAAGTGGCGCTGGGGCAGGTTTTCTCCGAGTACTTCGATTTCCCCTGCCAGTCTTCATTCCACCAATTGCTCCACAATCACCCTCACCTATCATCTGGAGCTGGTACAATAGGGACTTAGTCCCACCTCACTAGCAATAAAAAAAATCCGTTTGGTTACATGACACTCTCAGTATCGAGAGCAGAAATGTCTAGACTCAAAACTGTAAGGGAAAACCGACGTACTTGGAAGAAAATCCGAACCACTTAGACTTCGTCCACCACAAATCCTACATTACATGTCCTGGAGTCGACCCCGGGGCAGCCGCAGTGTGATTCTTGTCAATGTCCTTGTATTCCCAAAGATTAAGGATGTTGAGCCTGTTAAGAAATGTCATATATTGGAAGCAACACAGCCCCTTGATCGGCTCTGGGGCGCACCCCGCTACCCATCAAATGAACACTGGAGACTTTTACACAGGGGAAAAAGCGGGGGTTGAAAACTGACCACTCACCTCCCTCTAGTGCCGGGGTTTAAGAATGTGTGGATCTGTATCCTTGTTCCGTCATATATCTTTGTAGCGAGGCGCTTAATTAAGAATAGGGACAAATTTTCAGTATCGAGGATCAGTATTAACTGCTCTCTTTGATGGTAAGCATAAGTAACATCTCCTTTAACATTAAGCAGTACATTTTACCTACAGACACTGTCTGTTTCATATGACCGTGAGTCTAAAAATTTCGGGGGAAATCACACCGGCCCATTACATTAACCCAGTATCTCAGCAAGAATTCGAGGGCACACAGTAGCGTAGTTGGTTGGGGCACTACGCTACAAGCCGGAAAGTCGCGGTTTCAAGTCCCGATGATGTCATTGGATTTTTCAATTGACCTAATCCCTCCAGCCGCTCTATGGTCCTGGGGTCGACCCAGCCTCTAACAGAAATGAGTACCAGGAATATTCCTGTGGGTAAAGGACGGCCGGCGCGTAAGGCTGACAACCTTACCGCCATCTGTGAGCTGACTGTCTACAGTAGGGTGTGTCACAACCCTACGGGCCTCCACGGCCTGTTACATGAATAGCTTTACCTATAGCTTTATCTCAACAAGAATTCATACCGTGATCTCGCGCGCTGTGACACCGCGCTATCGTGTGGGCGTGGCATTCGTCAGGATGTCTTACCGAGATGAGTGAGCGTACAGCTTTATGGTTAGGTCGCTAAGTGATTCATCTTGTCCGTCTAGTTTCTTAATTAATAAGCAACATTTAAGACTGACATGTTTCGGCCACATATGGCCGTCTTCGGGGGCATCCAATAACTGGACAGCCGCGGTGATACATTTTACTCTATAATAGGATACCACCGAAATGGACATATGTGGCCGAAACATGTCGACGTTTGCACCGGAAGTTATTTCTCGGGTTTTATCTGATATAAACAGGGCATCAGCAACAGCAAGGTTATTAAATCGCGTTCAAGGTGTTCCACACACTGTTTACTGCTCGCCCTACAGAAGAATAAATTTTTAAATATTTAATGTTTGACTCAAACACTTTTAACTTTAATAATTAAAAAAAAAATACAAAACTATAAGCATATGTATTACGAGCTATGTAACAGTAGTTCCTTGGCATGTAGTTACTGCCTTCTGAAGATGGTCACAGCTGACCGAAACATGTAAGGGCAATATATAAATATATATTGGAAGGTGTTGTCAAATAATTTTATAATTGACTAGTGTGATGGACAAGAATGAATAAAATTATGCCTTGAACTCGGGGGGGGGGGGGGGGCTCGTTTGCCCCCCCCNCCCCGGAGCCTTTGCTTGTAGGTCGATACAAATGATTCAAAGAAACATAAAGCGTCCTTCTTCGACGCAGAAATGTCCTAATGCTGGAGATGGGGGCAGTATGTTCCTTAGATACGTTTGCATGCACCTACAAGGCCACACGGTGTCAAAGCCGTAGAAACCTCAGAGCTTGAAATGAGAGTAGGGCAGGTTCTCTTTCGGCTTCTCCCTTCTTCACAACGAAGATTACTCTCACTAGAATGTGATGATTACATAATAAATTATGATGTAAGATTTGAGGTTTTCACGGCGGTGACTATGAAGAATTCCGTCTTCTGGGATGTGGCGCCAACCCAGGGGACGGAATTCTTCTTGAATTCTGATATTCAGCCCAACTAACTACCTGCATGGAGATGGGCCCTTCTTGGGAAGCCGCCAGTTACGTAGCTACTCAAGAACTTCCCAACATTTCATGGAACCCGATGGTTCATTACCGTGTTTACAAGAACCCTCCACTGGTCCCTATCCTGAGCTAGATAAGTCCAGTCCATATCACCATCCTATCTCTCTAAGAACCATTTTAGTATTGTGACATGACGCCCGAAAGCCGGAATAGCAAAGTCAGAATAGACGTTCATTGCTAAGCAACGATTCGGTAAACATATCTCCTCGGCAACTAATAAGCAAGCAACAATCGTGTAACTTCCGTTGCTACGCAACGGTACTGTAAACACGCCTTCACAACAATAGAGAGGTTGTGTTCTCTGCGTGGTCCGAGCAATGTGATTATAAAGTATGTTTCGTTTGAGAAGTAGTGACCCCCGTGTGGAGGCGGGGTCGAATACCTCCACCGTGACCCTGCGAGTCGTAGGAGGCGNGTTATAAAGAAGGTTTCGTTTGAGAAGTAGTGAGTCAGAGGACTTTGACTAAGGAGAGAGTCGAGACCACCCCCGTGTGGAGGCGGGGTCGAATACCTCCACCGTGACCCTGCGAGTCGTAGGAGGCGACGAAAAGGAAAGTCTCATATCTGAGACCGTAAACTATGGTCGCTAGTCCCAAGGGACTCCGACCCGAGAAAGACCGCTCTGGCAAGGGCCATCAGCATATGTAAAAGACAGACCCGTCCTCTCGTCAGAGAGGGTGCCCCACAAAAACAAAACCGTAGCTGTCAAACGATAATAATTAATATCTGGTCATGAGCCCCATATGGGGCTCGACATCAAGACTTACTGACTGACTGACTGACTGTCAGTCGCAATGTGACTTTGACTTTGAGAAGTCGTAGTAGTGTCGAGTTTCTAGATGCTGGGGCATGAGCTTGGGAGCAGAGGAATTGAATTGAGTCGAGTATTCGTAATTGGCAGTTGCAGAATAACGGCAGGAAGGCAAGAAGACTTCATATGTAATCTGAAGTGACAGTGAGCCTGTTATAAATCCGTTGCCAGGATACGACTAGTGAAGACTGAGAACCCTAGTGCGTGTGTAACTGTGAACTGTGAAATGTGTAGAATTGCGATAGCGCTGTATTGCCTCTAGTCCCGAGTTGTGCGAATAAGGTGTCAGTAAATCCAGTCATCCAATCCAAGAGCCCGTCTTATAAGTCACGCGCAAACCCCAAACACGTGACAATATTATGCACCCAGCTATGTCTTGGTGTTTGTAGTGGACACTTTCCTTCTGGCTTTCCCACCAATATTCTATATGCACTATCCTTCTCCTCCCCCATTCGTGCTACATGCCCTGCCCGTCTCATCTTCTTTGGATGCTTTGTTAACTTGGGGTCTGGCGTTACTATGGACCACCCTACATCTGCTCCCTATCGGCGCCTCTCAAACACCCCTTCGGTAACTTTGCGGGCGGCAGGTAGCTCATGTGTTTCGATTTAAAGGAATCACGTGATACTCTAATTATATTCTAACCCCAAAATGACGTGCAGGAAACAGACTCCAGGTTTTCTTAGCAACATAGCTTCCGCTCCCAGAGGACTCAAACCACTCAGAGGCTACGTCCAATACGACATCGTCTCATCAACTAGTGACAGTTATATATGGCATACTTACATTACTTCGGGATGAGCATGGGCCTGTTACAGGTGTGTTGTGTGCGCGGCCCAGGCATTCTGGTGGCGGGGCTTACCTGCAACCAAACAGAATACCCTGTAAACTCCATCTATTGAGGAGAAAAGGGAGCCCCACATCATCATTAAAGTCTATTTTTGGCATACTTCCAGTATCAATACTTCGATAGGAAATTCAAACATTCCTATGCACAACGTTTTTTCTTCCGATAAGGTTACATACGCCCTGCTCCAGAGAGCAAACAGACAAGTCAATTAAGTTTAACAATGAATGCCATGATAAAATGTAGGTGTACATGCAGGTGACCTATCTGATCGGGTTGAAAGTAGACAGGTTGTACCCTGAATGTCCTGTAGATGGACGGATATGTTCTTATCTCTCTTCCAAGAACTCCTTGCGCTTGCCTCAGTCTTTAACAGCAGCCAGTAAAGTACGCAGAACCAACTTACCGTCTGCTTTAACGTTAAAAAAATCTCCGCAGTTTGCTCGTTCAGTGTGTTTACAGGCTTCACATGAAAACGTTTTCCCTCTGTCTAAGTAATTAAGCACTGCGCCATGAAGACGTATGGGGGAGTGGCTGTAGAAATCCACGGTTTCTTAACCTCAGCACTGTTGGAGCTGAGTGGTCAGCTTCACGCCCCGGGGGAAAGAGGCACCTCCATACCCGTTGGATAGGAGGTTGAGTGGGCCCGTTGGATAGGAGGTTGAGTGGGCCCCAGAGCCAGTCTGGACGACGTGGAGAACAGAAAAATCTTGACCCTACCGGGACTAGAACTCTGACCCCTCGGTCGCCCAACCCGTAGCCAGTCGCTATACCGACTACGCTATCCCGGTTCTAAGTTTCATAAGATTCTAACAGAAAAAGAGCGATTACAGCATTAACCAGATGGAAAGTGAAATGGAAACGTCCGAAATTTGGCACATAAAACCCAGATCTTCGTTAGGATGACTAAACTTCATCTCAATAATAAATCAAAATTATATTCCTGCGTCACATGAAACGCAATGCATCTCCAGTGGGTTAAAGATGCAGTTACACAGAGGAGGAACGCACCGACAGTCTGCTCGTCTGTTCACATTCACATACACAGAACGGACAGACAAGGAACAATCACCACCAACTGTATTCCACAATACATACGGGTTTCTCTGCGTCCGAGTAGCCGGTGCCTGACAGTGGCGGTCCATGTCGGTGCCAATGTCAAGAGTTACTTCACGACTGGCGGTCCATGTCAGTGCCAATGTCAAGAGTTACTTCACGACTGGCGGTCCATGTCAGTGCCAATGTCAAGAGTAACTTCACGACTGGCGGTTTACCGCCAATAAGTTCATTTTGGCGCCAAACCACTGAGACTCTTTGCAGCTGAACTCTTGCGTTCATAGTCCATATGTAACATCCTTCCTGATGAGGAGATGGCCTTGTCTCTTAAGTGTACGTAGGGGCCGCGCCATAGCTCAAGCGGTTAGTCGCTGGCTACCCACCGCGGCGGCCCGGGTTCGATTCCGGGGTCTGGTCAAGTTGGACTTATGGTGGACAAAGTGGCGCTGGGGCAGGTTTCCCCTGCCAATCTCCATCCCACCAATTGCTCCACAATCAGCCTCACCTATCATCTGGGGCTGGTACAATAGGCCAGAAGTGGCCGCAGTACAAGAGACTTAGTCCCAACCCCACTAGCAATGAAAAAAAAGTGTACGTAGTGCACGTGGTTAAGGGGGATGCCTTTTCTTCCCGGGAAGCGATCAGTCCGGTAAAAATGATAATTTGGAAAGAAACCCCTGTCATGAGGTTCGAGATGTCCCTCTAAGAGCACAGCCATATGTACTCCTATGTCTTGCAGCTGCCCCCAAAATCAATTTGCATTAAGTGTTGACAGTGAGTGGTCCATGATCTCTAGCAGCCATTTTGTTGCAATGAGGATTATTTTGTCTTCTTGTGACACAGCTTCAAGGAGTATGTCATGATCTGCTGCGGTGGCAAATGACACGAACGTGCTAGTTAAAATTACGTCTGAAACCATTTTGTCGGTCAGCTGGTGGTCTGCAGTAGTTTGAAGGGACCTTAATGCTGTTAGGGTAACGTTACTCTTGGCAGTCTCCTTACGTGTAACGACAACAGACCATAACGTCAGACTGGCTGCATCTATAATGAATGACTAATTAACTGGAACGACTGTGGCAGGAAGCGATCGTAGACTGACGAGAGGTACTTCACCCCGCTCAAACACCAAGATCGTGGGTTCAAATCCCACTTGAGGCATGGATGTATGTGTGAGTTTAGTCTGTATTTGTGCTGTCCTGTGTGTAGATAGTGCCCTTGCGACTGGCTGATCTCCCGTCCAAGGAGTCCTACTGTGTATAGGATTAGAAACTGAAAGGGCGGCCAAGGTCCAACAAAAGGACTGTAGATAGATAGGTATTTTTATTTTAAACAATATTTAGACGAATCCCAGGTTTCAAAGGGTTGCGTGCTATGCCTTCCAACAAAGTACACATGTGTTCATAAATTCTGGAATACATGCCCCGGACTTTGCTCTTCTCGGAATAACCCGTTTACATTTCGTGTTTTGCACAGGCTCCATTTCGTTTCTGTAGCAGCGTCTGGGTCGATTTCACGCATGCGCTCTGAAGACTGTTTATCGAGATGGTCAGGGAATGGTGCAGAGATTCTGCGGGTCGAAGATTTCTGCAGCCTCGCCCCCCCCCCCGGACCCTGCAACACAGTACAGTACAGTTGCCCAGCCACTGCCGGGCTGTAACCTGGATCCTGGACACCACTAGTTCTTTTCAGAGCTACCTTGTCTAGAGACGCAATGGGCTCTACTTCCTGAACAGTACAGAAGATCCACGCAGCTGGAGTTACTGTACGACTGCCGGTTAACCACCAATCTTTTCATCTTGCAGCCAAACCTCTTGAGGCCCAAGACCAGCACTTTTTCAACTGAACACTTGCTTTCACAGTCCCTATGTATTTTTTTATCACTTGGTGGGGTGAGACTGAGTTGCTTTTACTGCGGCCACTTCTGGCCTATTGTACCAGCCCCAGATGATAGGTGAGGGTGATTGTGGAGCAATTGGTGGAATGAGAACTGGCAGGGGAAACCGAAGTACTCGGAGAAAACCTGCCCCAGCGCCACTTTGTCCACCACAAATCCCACTTGATCAGACCCGGGATCGATAGTCCTTATGTAACATCCTACCTAACGAGAGGACGGTTCTGTCGTTTACAATTGCTGCTGGCCCTCGCCAGCGTACTCATTCTCGGGTCCGAGACCCGCGGAACTCATGACCGTATTCTACTGTCTCAGATTCTAGTCTCCCGCAACCTGGAGGGCCAGGTCCCCGTATGTATATCCCCAGGAACAGGGTGGCCCGGTTATACTCCCAGACACTGGATTCCCTTTTCGCCGCCTCCTATGACTCGCAGGGCTACGGTGGAGGTATTCGAACCCCCCTCCACACGGGGGCTGAAAATAGACCCAACCTCTATGAACTATCGATAAGACATCGCGCCGAAGTGAGCTAACATGGAGCATGTATCGACCAGAACAAAGCGGTTTCGTATAGCCTGAGCGGTCAAGTTCTGCACTTAATGTTTGATTAGTATCTTTCCACAGCAAGCCCTCTTGCATAAAAAGTTAAGATCAAACACATGTATTTCAACAGGGAGCTACGGCCATAATGTATAAAGTTTCTGGTCCTATGGAGCCCTTACCATGGCGTCACTGCTTGTGAAGAACCACTAAAGTCAAGTCTGTACGTGTATGTCTTAAATTTGCGGGTGGAAAGATTCGCACGGCAGCCATGTTTTCATATACAATGTGCAGGAATATTTACGATCTATCAACGTACCAATTTCCACCTTTCTAGCTTAAGTGGTGCCCTAGGTGTCTGCATAAAACGAAAAACAGAACAAGCCGACATGTTGGTTAATTCATCCTTAAAAAGAAGATTAGCGAAAATTGTATATTCTTCTAAAGCAGTGTTCCGCAACTGGTGTGCCGCGGCACACTGGTGTGCCGTCACAAGGTGAAAGGTGTGACGCGAACTATTACCTATTGTAAGAAATTAATTGTCGAATTTAATTAGTTTTATTTCATCTCAGTTACTCTGTTTCATATGCTTGTATTTTACTCTCAGCCACTGCACTGATTAAATAAGATGGTGCTTGTTTATTCTTTATTGCATGCCGTGATTTTTTACGTACAGTAATGTTGTATTCTAAGAAATTAAACGTAAATTATTTACTCACAGTTGTTGTTATATCATAGTTTTCATTATTGATTTATTTTTATTTTTCTCGCATCTACGCAGCTTCTTTGATAAACTTGCCGCATGTTCTGTGTACGTGCTTTTCCCTAAAACTACAGGGATTAGAATGGGGTTTCCTGTCTTTTATAACGCTATTTTGGTTATTACGAGGAAAAGTGTTAACGCGAATATTTGAACTTAATGAGAAGGTACGTGCATTTTTGACTGTTGAGGGGCATGAGTACGCGGATTTATTTGCAGATGATGAATTGGCATGTAAGTTGGCATATCTTTCCGATATTTTCATACACTTGAATGAGCTGAACAGAAAGATGCAAGGTAGGAACGAAAATAAACTAACTTATATGGATAGGGTACAAGGATTTGTAAATAAACTGAATTTGTGGATACAGAGAATTACAGATGGGTCGTTTGAGATGTTCCCGACTGTATGGTCACTTGCTGANCTGCCACTTTCAACTACATATTTGTGTGAACTGGGCCTCTCGACGTTAACTGAAATTAAGACATCAAAGAGGGAGCGGCTCAAATCCATCGATGAAGAAATGAGACTTCCGTTGTCAACGATTCCACCACGGATCAGTCGCCTGTGTGCAGCTACGCAGGCGCAAGTATCACATTGAAGGCATGAATAGAATTACTGTATTTACTTTAATAGTAATAGAAATGTATTTTCTACACGCTACAGTGAATGAAAGTTCATTAATTGGTAATAAAAGCACGAGTCGATTCCTGTTTAATGATAATAAAATAATAATATTATAGTAATAAGTTGATCACGTTATGTAT